AGTAGTCAGAACAGAGCAGGGTAACACTGCATGGTTCAAAATTGGGAAGGGTGTATGCCAGGGATGCATTCTGTCTCCATACCTTTTCAACATGTATACAGAGCAGATTATCTGAGAGGCTGGGCTCTATGAGAAGTTCAATAGCAGCAGTTAAAACTAGGCCAGGTGCTATAACCATCAATTACTCATGTGCAAATTAAAATTGAAGCTGAAGAAAATGAAGCTCCATAAGAGCTAAAATATAGTCTTGAGTCTATTTTACCTGAATTAAAAAAAATCATCTTAGTAACATGTTTCAGGCATTGATCATCTATAAGCAAAGACCAGGGGAGTTGTGGGTTAAAATAAAAATGAAAAAAAGTGGATTTCAGAAGAAACTATGAAAGCTGTATTAAAAACTCAAGTACAAAAAATGAAAAAAAAAAAAAGGAAGAGATGTCCATAATGGCTGAAAAAAAGATTTCAAAGGGAAGCTTGAGAAGTCAAAGTATGGGATCATAAATAAATTTGTAGACAGCTAGAGTCAGAGAATAAAAAAGAAAAACTCACTCAGCACTTCTCAAGCTGAAAGAACTGGAAAAACAAATTCAAGTTTTGAGTTGTAATACAGAGAGATGCCAGGGGTCAAATTTTGAGTGTTTCGGTGAATAGATTCTGACAGAGACTTTCCACTGTGTCTATTGACTATGCAAAGGTATTGACTGTGGATCATAATAAATTATGGGCAACACAGAAAAGATCTGGAATTCTCATGAGAAGGACTTGTGTGAAGTCATTGAAGGTGAAACTATTTATTGGTTTTGATCTCTCTAGAACAATGAAGAGTAAAGAAAACCAAAGATACATCAACCCACAGTACCAATGAACTCTGTAAACCTCAACTTCCATAACTCTAAGACCAGAAACAAAAGATGGTTCCTGATTATCACTGCTGACCAGTCTGAAAGAGATTACAATAGAATGTCTCAATAAAGGGGGAGAAAATATGATATTAAACCCCAAATAATAAAAATGGTCTGGGATACTGGTCTGATGAAGCCTGGTGGAAACTCAAGAAAATGGCTTTTAGGCATCCTTTGTGGCTAGAACTGAAATCACTCCTATACTTCATCTTTCAGCTAACCAATAAACAAACTTGTAAAGTAAAAGAAAATGAGAGGTGTGTATTCACTCTTTGGAAAGGTCAACTGTTGTTATTAGGTGCCGTCCAGCTGCTTGCAATTCATAGCGACCCTATGTACAAGAGCCCTAAACCCTGCTCTATCCTGTGCCAACCTCATTGTCCCCGAGACACCTACTCAACTAGACAAGTTACAAGAGGTCATATATTCCCAAGGATAAAACTCAGAAGGGAAGAACAAAGAAGGATGAGTGGAAGCAAAAACCATAGTTGTGAAATGGGATATACTCTTCTAATTGGATATAAACAAATGTCATAAAAGAAAATATGCATAAATGATTGCATTTTCTTTGTTAAATTTTACACAAATCATTAAAGTACAGCCTAACAAAAATAGTCTTCTCTCCTACTTAGTCGAATAATTAAATTGTCTTTTTTGCTTCTGTTTCTTTAATTATAAAGTGAGTTAATCATGCTCATAAATGTGTGTCTATTTCTTCTTGCAAGACTACTAAACTCAAACTTTATGTACTTGATCTTTCATGACAAATTTTACTTCATTTATTTTATAGGAATCTGCATTTATAGAGTCAGTTTATATTGCTATTTTTTATATAAGAGTTTGGGTAATTATCCATCATCTACTGATTTTTCATAGTTTCAAAATATATTTGCAACTTCAGGGAACAATTTTATTTATATGGATTTTTTTTCTATAAGCTCAGAAACTTACTCCAATGAAGAAATTATTTTCTTTTTTCCTTTTCTTTTTTTATCTATTCTCTTCTTTTTTCTCTTCTTTTCTTTCTTCTCTCCGCTCCTTTCCTTTTTTCCTTCTTTCTTTTTCTTTTCTTTTTTCTTAGTTAAACAAAACATAGAGTAAAATTACCAAGCCCATGAAGTGGTACTTTGAGAAAGTTTAATCTGCTAATGAGATTTTTTTTGGTTTTGTTTTAATGTTTGTTCACTTAAATGATGAAGTATGTTTTATGAAGAATATTCTGTTTTGGACAATAGAGTCTATTAAGAAGTGACATAACAATTTTGCATGAGAGCAGAAAAATTCTGAGTGATACAGCTGGTAAATTAATAATTTAAAGTTATAAATAACTTTCCTAATGCTCTTGCTTTGGAAGGAAGAGTGGCATCCACTTCCATAATAGCTTGCCTCTGGAAACCTTATGAACCTGGAGAGAGGATGAAAGGCACCCAAGCGTTGAGGACTCTCCTTCATAGGGTCGCTATGAGTCGCCTGCAACTTGACGGCACTTAACAACAACAACAACAACAATGCTCTTGCTAAATGTAAAGTTTTCAAGTGTCTTTTACATCAAACCACTCCATAAGAGGTCACACAAAGCTACTGAAGGTTAAGACGAGAATGATATCTTCTGATGACACACTATTCTAAGGTACTGGCATGCAATAATAACAACAACACAAAAGCTGCAATAATTCTAGCTGATGAGGAGGGGAGCTCTGGTGGCACAGTGGAAAGAGGCTATGCTGCAATCTCCAAGGCGGTTTGAAGCCACCAGCTGCTCTGCGGGAGAAGGATAGACAATCCCCTCCTGTGAGGTTAATTGTTTCTGAACACCTGTTGGAGAGTCAGCTATGGCTTGGTTCCAACTCTACGGCACACAACAAGGACAAAATGTTTAATTGTTCCATTGCAAAAAAAAAAAAAATATCTATAACAATATGGATTCTGAGGCTCCATCTAACATGCTTTGGACATGTAAGGAGAGACTGGTCCTTGGAGAAAGACATCATGCTTGGGAGGGTGGAGGGACAGCGCAGGAA